GCCCCTTAGTCCCCTGAGTATTAAAATAGTTTAAACTAGCTTAGTTTGGGTGGGGCTTCGTCCCCGAAGTAGTTACCAAACGGAATGAGCTGGTTTGATTTGTCCATTTTCAGACCTCTTCTTTCATATGATAAACCAGTAAACGTGTCTAGGCTTGGTTTATAGTTTATCTCGGGATCGCACAGACCTGGAAGGTAATCTGGTCTCTTCACTCAGATTTGCTCCAAATGTTGAACAGTTCTAGGCACAAAACGTCTAATCCTGTCGGCATTTCCAGTCTATGAAATACTGTGAGCTCCAGGGCAGGTCTTGCATGTCGCATCCACTGCAGTATTTGGGAGCAGGCCTGGGCATGTAATTTGTGAGGCTTAGTACAAAATGAAACTGCAGGGTCATTTGTTCAAAAATCAGGAGGAAAGTATCATTAAAGGTACTAAACTATAAGCTGTCTCCTTTCTTCTGCAGTATCTCTTTTGACTTGTCATGGTGTTTTAATTAATAACATTAATTTGCTATTAATTGACAGCATTATCAATAATGCTATTATTAAATATTAATTATGGTATTAATTATTAGCATTAAATTGTTACTTAATTCACTCTATGAAAAATGTTAAATTTAAATTATTGGCATGAATTTTACCATTCTTTATACTGTACAACATCAGTTTTAAATACAACTATAAGAACATTTAATGCATATGTAGAATTATTGAAATGTCACAATTTGCATTTCATAACTCACACAAACATCTACAGTTCTTACTAGAACAGCGGAAAATGCACAAAACGAACTCACCTGTATTTATTTTACGGCTTGATGTACACTTTACCAACACTGTGGAATCCCGGGACGTTGAGTCTCACTAAACCCCCACGGATCATGGGTCCAGCAGAATTCTGTGCTTACCCAGCTTCAGAAATGGTGGTGGGTGTGCACAATGCACCTCTCTCCTCTCATTCCATTCATGCTCCGTTGCCCTATCAGTCTTAAACAAAAGTGCAAATATTAAGAATTTCAAGATGACAGCAGCGCATTAAACCAAGTGCCATTCTGAGCATATGGCCTTGTGTCACTACACTAGTTGTACACACATAAAGTGAGCCCTGTCCCAGAGCCTTGAGTCTGGTACATTGTAAATGTTCAATAAATAATTGAGGCTGAACTGATGCCCATTGTTTACTAGGTACTTGGAAGTGTTAAAAAGAAGAAAGAGAGAGTGGAAGGGAAGGGGAAGGGAAGGAAAGGAAACGGCAGAATGGAGTCACTTGCTGAGCCCTCTCACCGAACCAAAACAATAAATAACCTAATTGCAGTTTCACCTTCTCCCAGGGGTAAATTTTAAACCAATCAGTAGAGAATGTCCAGATCAAAACTAGTGGTGCTTGTTTTGGTGCTTGATAAACATACCCCTCCCCTCCCCCAGTCCTTTGGCCCCAAAGTATAGGATCTGACCTAAACATAATCCTTTCTTTTCTTTTGCTAATAACTTGTCTGCCACACCCTTCTGACTATTAAAAACCTTCCATTTTGTATCACCCCTGGAAGTGCCATTCTGCTTGCTGGATGGGATGCTGCCTGATTCATGGGTCTCTTAAAGGCAATTAGATCCTCAAATTTACTGGGTTGAATTTTGTTTTTTAATAGAAGATGGATGTGAGAATCACAGTCCTATCTTCAAAGAGATCACAACTAGGGGGAAGAAACAAAGCAAACAGATGATCACAGGTAGTGTCTGAATAACTTCCTTATTGTGAGCTGAAATGTGTCAATCCACTGGTTAACTCGCCTCTATGTGATGAGTTGCAGCTTTACAATGTGTTGAATTTGGTTTGAATTCTGTTTCTGCCACTTATAATAGCTGTGCAGTGTCAAGTAAATACTGTCTTCTCTCTAGCCGATTCCTCTTATGAAATGAGAACATGCACGTGGGTGTAAGAGGTTTCAGGAGAATGTAAAGTGCCTAGCATAGTGTCTGGTACATAAGATGCTGTTAGTAGTTCTCACCTTGGTTGCCATGGCTTCTTCATGCGTTTAGGCATTTCTGCAGTTCCATTTATCCCACTGGTTCCTATTTCTATTCCTGTCTCTATACCCTACTTCTGGGCCACTGACTCTCAGCAATGAAATCTGAAAGGTAAATGTTGTGTGCCTCCATGTGGCCCAAAACTGTCCTGGAGCCACCCTGAGTTTATATTAGAACTTATCTATCCCTTTGTGTTATCACTCCATCTCCAGCCTCCCTCCCACTCCCACGTACACACTTATACACAGACGACCACACTGCCTTCTGGGCTGTTGGCTTGTCTGAAGTTCTACCTACCTAAACCAATTACTCAGGCTATAGCCCCCCCCCCAGGGTGGACTTTCTATTTTGGTGAGAAAGAAAACAAAAAAAACACCTCTGACCTTCCTTTGAAGATAGTAAAGGGTGTAAAATTAGGATCTACTTGAACTTAAACTTGATTCTTTATTATTCCTACTGAAAGTAGAAATATCTAGAATGCTTTTATTATGCTCATTAAAATAAATGTATTCACTGAGCAGAATGTGACATTGTTCTTAACTAGTACTGGCTGAATTTATGATAATGAAAATATGGTAAGATGTTAACACCTAGAAAATCTAGGTGAAGCGTTTACAGAAATTATATTTTCTGCCCATCTGAAATTATTTCTAAAGTTAAAATGTCTAATTCTCGAACAATTATAGATTATTCAATTAAAATATGTTTGAGATAATTGAATTATAATGACATAGGACTTGGGGCCCATTATCAACAGTTTTTTATTTGGGAGGTGAGATTATGTGTATTAATCAAAGGATAATAAAAATCAATGTTTGATAAAGTACTGAAGTAAATGTCAAGTCCTAAGTGTACGCAGTAGCATGTTTGTGGGGATGTGTAGTTTGAAATTATCATCAAAACTAAAAACCCAGCTTCTAAGAAACCTGTGGCTCTTTGGAAAAGTTAAAAAGAAACTTTTCTTGAAAGAATTTTCCACAGCTGCGAAAGAACCACCTTTCACTTACTGAGGAAGCTTGTAGCAGAGACTACTCAGATTAATGAGGTTTTCCATTAACAACTTTAATGAGAGTTCCAATAGTGCTCTTAGAGACACCCCCAGATTTTGCTTTTGTTCCTGTTGCAATTGCCTAGACGAGATTCCTCACCCACCTTATTACTTTGTTTGGGGTCTTCTTTTCCTTTTGCCTTCCTTTTATTTGTCTTCCTCTGCTTGCACACTTCGTCACCTGAACATTTGAGGTAAGATACTAATTTCTGTGTATGTATGCCTACTTATTGTAAAGTATACTTGGCATATATTTTTAAAATATCAAATTATAATTGGTTATCATAATAATTGAACATTAAAGCTGCTTACTAAGAAAGAATGTTTATTTGTAAATGAAAGTAATTTGAATTTCAAAAGCTAATCATTTACAAAAATTTTCTTTTTTAAAAGTGATAGTCTAAGAAACTTGTTTAATTTTTAGCCTAAATGTCAAATATAGAAAACACAAATGATCTATTGTAAAAGTACCTGTTATCTACAACCATTTAATCACTTCTTCATAAACCTGAATAACTTAAGGACCTATGTTCCTTAGCCCAACTAAGGAAAACTCCATGTTCAATCCAGGTCTATGACTAAAGAAAATGAACCATGTGCCCTCTTGGTTTACCATTTCCTCTTGTCTATTTTAAATGTCAATTATTTAAAGTATGAGTATTAAAAGGGGTTACTTGGGCATTTTCTCACTGGGAATATTGAATACTAGGAGCTGTGGCTGCCTTTCTGTGGGAACAGAAACCTGACGCCCTTTTGTGCGCTGTGTAACTGAACGCTTAGTGTTAATGCTCGTTGCCAGAACAGCAGCGGCTTCTGCTTGGAGGCTGTGAGCTGTGACAATCAGCCTCCAGTAGCTGTATTTGTGTGTCCTCCCACAGAAAGAAGGAAGAAAATGGCGTGTGCTGAGTATCCTTTTCATGTGCCAAGTCTGGAGGAACTTGTTGGAGGTAAGCACAACACTAACTTTAAGTTTTAAAAATTACTCTAAGGAAAAAAATAAAAATATTCTAAGATATGACTTATGCGATAGTGCTTTCAATATAGAACTTGTTTTCATTTTCAGTGTCTGTTCTGTACTATTTTTGAGAGTCCAAAATTCTGCCCCTCCAAAAAATGAAACTCACTATTTGAGGATTCTTGATAACAGTTTTACAGAATGAAAGTAGAGTAGTCTAAGACTTAAGGATGTGTGATGCTCAAAGGATTACACAATTTTGCTTTATTAATTTTTTATCAGTTACAGTATTCTTTAAATACATAACCTACTGCGGTGTGTTAATTAGGTTTTCAATATACTATTACCAACGCCATGTGACAGACTGCCAATGAATTTACTTGCTTATATTTCTCTGTATTTTTATGTATTTCACCTTGTTTGAACAAGAATTTAAGGCAGCTTCACAGGATTAGTTAGGAGGGGAGATAGATAATAAAAAGAAAAGAAAAATAGGACTATAAAATGAAGACAGAATAGTATTAATCCAAAAGTGCAGAGCGTGTCAGAATGCTAACATTTGTTTGACAGCCTTCAGGTTCTATTCTGATGGTAACTTAAAACCTAACCTTATTTCTCACAGTATATGTGTTCTGGTAGTTCCTCTGTCCCTCTGATAAGGTTGAAGTCAAGAAGTGTACTCACCATTTACTTAGTTGGGGCTCTCCTCTCATGCCTTCCTATCTTTTTCTGAAATTGAATGGCAGCTCGTAAACAATTTGTATTGCTAGTATATACTCTTTGCTTGTATTTTTCTGTCAGTCTTTCTGTCTTCCCTGATATGACAGGACAGCTGAGGCTAGATTTAGGATGACTTCTTGTTTTTAGAGAGTCTGATTCTATAAGACTTAAACTAATGGTTGACATTACTATCAGAGAAATCTTTATAAGAACTTTTCACCCTTAAAAGTATATTGCTCTTAGATTTATAACTTTCAGACATCTACGTTTGCTTTTTTACTTTCTTACTGAATTATATCTTTGGTAAAGTACACTAATCTTAAGTGTACAGCTTGATGAATTTTAACGTTTACACCCATGTCACTACCATCAAGATCAAAATATACAATATTTCCAGCATTCCAGAAGGCTCCTTCATGTACTTTCCCAATCGGTATCGATATCTCTACCCAAGAGGTAACTACTGTTCTGACTTGTGTCACTTTAGATTAGTTACCCGTTTTTGAAATACATCATATAGTATATACTCTTTTGTGTCTTGCTTTTTTTTGCTCAGCCTGTAACCTTCAAGGAAGTTGTTGCATGTAATTGCTTACTTTTTATCAGTTTAAATACTTACATTTCAATAGGTCTCTGGAATCCTGTTGCGGAAAGAAAGGTAGTCCTCACCTGAGTGCAGTGTTTCTCTTCAGTGGTTTATACTGGTATTTATTTGTTTTAGTCTACATGATAGCTTGTGATTAATTATGTGTCTAACATTGAATTATATTCATTAATAAGACCCTTTCCCCCTCTTTTTTAATTAGACAAGTTTAGGTTGGAAATATGACACACAAAAAAGTTGAGAGAAGATTTGATATGTGGTGACAAATTTTTATCTAATGTTAAGTAACCGTATTCCTTATCTTTCTTAGTTCTGCAGAAGGGGCTAAAGGATAACTTTGCTGATGTCCAGGTCTCTGTAGTTGATTGCCCTGATTTGACTAAGGAGCCATTTACCTTTCCTGTAAAAGGTAAGCAATTTTTGCCCTTAGCTTTTTTTTGTTTTCAGTTCTAATCTTTTTCTGAAGCCAGAATTATGTTTAAGGATTAAAGTATCTACAAATAAGGATATTGTTCCAGCTTTTAGACTAAATTGTCTTAATTTTTGTGCTCACTGTTTTCTTATGTTGGTCAGATATAATTTTGTACTCTGTGGAAAAATGTTTTATGTACTTCTGTAACTTTCACAGGTTACATAGTAAACATTCAGTAGACTAGAATCCTTGATATTACATGAGTTTTGTTTTTAATTGCTCAAGTGACTGTTATGGAAACTTTAATTTTAAGTTTTTATTTATTTACTCAAGATATGAAGAGAACTTAAAAGTCTTATATTCGAATTGTCTATTAAATACTTATATCCTTTCAACAGATTTGCCAAATGATCATCCAGCCAGTGTTTAAAGTGAGAATAATTACTTAATTCTTAATTTAATTATTATTAAAGGGAAATTAATATTGGTTGAGTAAATATACTTTGTCAGAGAGTATGACAGATACCTATACCTAATGTCTTAATTTTTACAATAACACTGCAAGGTAAGTACTAGCCCCAGTTTATAGATGTGGAAACTGAAGCTCCGAGAGGCTGAGTAAGCTCAGTGTGAATCGTAAGCAGAATTTAAATCTAGGTCTGCTTCTAAAATCCAACCTTCTCGCACTACATCCTACTGTGATGAAAAATTTGAAGATAAACACTAATACTCATTCACTCTTAGTATTCACTTGACATCTTTGTTAAAAAGTAATACTACATGGAAGTCCTAAACTCTAGTTCTTTCTCTACCACATTCAGATTTCATTACCCTGGGTAAGCTAATTAATGTATCTGGTCTTCATGAGGGGAGGAGGGGAAAGGGGGTTAAACGTTCTTTTGGGGGGATCTTTCCAGTTTAAACAGTCTTTGATTTTAAGCAGACCTGTAAATTCTAGAAGTTTTGTGTTCCAGATGGGAATTTATCTTCATACCTTGAAAGCACTTAGCGTAATACTCTTTTATGGTCATGCTTCTTCCACCCCACCCACCAAAACAGAGTTTTAAAGGAGTAATTATAGACTAGAAATTAAATTCTAGAAGCCTCATTCAGTCCAAGCTTTGGCCCCAATTCTAGCCCTTGCCCTATATTCAATTTTGTATTACCTTTATGCTACCAACTATAGCAAGTCACGCTTGGTTATGACAACATTAGAGTCACAGGTAGTTAGAACAGAACATGGGTCCTAGCTATTTACATCTTCCAACCCCCACTATTTGTAAAACTATGAGAATGGGAAAGTTATCTACTCTTAATAAGCTAAACTTGTGTCTTCTGGCATTAGATGTCTGCCTAAGTTTAAGATTTTCTTTTTAGGCATCTGTGGGAAAACTAGAATTGCAGAAGTAGGAGGTGTGCCTTACTTATTGCCTCTTGTAAACAAAAAAAAAGTAAGTGTACTTTTACTCTTCGCATTCCCATGAAGATCACAGAGCTTGGGTTGATTCCTCATGTTAGAACATCATTGACCAATGTGGCAAAGAAGTATTAAAAGTAAACCAGGGAATCTGTATAAGTTGTGATTTAAATAATATTATTTTCCTCTTCTGTAGGTTTATGATCTAAATAAGATTGCAAAAGAAATCAAGCTTCCTGGAGCTTTTATTCTTGGAGCGGGGGCAGGCCCATTTCAGACTCTTGGGTTCAATTCTGAGGTCAGCATATATATAATTATTTTATTTTATTGATTAGATATTGGTTTGCCTTTTTCCTTTTACTTCCGTGTCAAAAACTGTACTTTCTGGATGAATTGTAAGTGGTTGGTGTCCCATCTGTCTACAGACCTGCTAGTATTTGATGCCGATTTGGACTATAGCACATATGCCCCAATCGGTGTAACTATAATGGGCACTAACCTCTGGTTTCAGGTTCTTAGGGTATACATTCCGTCTTAGATGAGCCCAGGGTCCTGCCATGGTCTGCTGTGGATCTGGACTGTGAAAGATTTTAACCCTTATGCATCAGAGGATTTTTAACTTCTCCATAAATCTTTGCTTTTGGTATAAGAGCAGCTTTCAATCAAGAGATGAATGGAATATTTAATGATCTAGTCAACCCCCCACTTCAAACCAAATAGTAGGAACCTACCCCAATAGTATGATTATTTACAAAAGGTAATGTATATTACTATGAATGTCAGTATGCTTCCAACATAAAAATACCAGTTTATTCACATCTGCTAAGTAGAAGAGTGAATGACCTCTTCAGTGTACCCATTCTCTCACAACCTTTACAGATGTGACCACTAGTCAGTAATCTTACAAGCTCTTTTGCAGAATCAATACAATTTGCCTAGTGTTTAAGAAAAAAATTTAAACATTTTGAATAAAGCAAATGTTACAATGTAATAGGAATGCTATAAGAAATACTAAACATTTTATAAAATGTTTTTTCAGTGTTTTGATATTTGTAAATCTTTAACATTTTGTTTTGAATCTAAAATTAAATAGTTGATATTTCATGTTTTCTTATTAGATCTTGAAATAAAATGTCTTAAAACATAGGATAAAATTCTGTCGTATTATTCAAGATATCCTGTTTGCAGAGACATACTAGGATTGGCTGATTTTTATCTTATTTACTTTTCTTTTCAGTTTATGCCAGTTATTCAAACAGAAAGTGAACACAAACCTCCTGTGAATGGAAGTTACTTTGCCTACATTAACCCTGAAGATGGAGGGTGCCTACTAGAGAAATACAGTGAGAAGTATCATGATTTTGGTTGTGCATTACTGGCTAATCTTTTTGCCAGTGAGGGCCAACCTGGAAAGGTGATTTTGTCCATAAAAACACAATGTTCTTCAAAAGTTCTCAGCTAAAATTGCAAACTTTTATTGCCACAAATATGGTTTTCTAAAGAAAATCTGAAGTGCCTAAGTCAAAGCTCTTTAAATAACCCAGTTATGAAAGATACACAGAGTACTACAGGTAGCGTGAAACTGAGGTTAAGCCCGGCCAGCATGGCTCAGCGGTTGAGCTCTGACCTGTGATCCAGTCAATTGCGGTTCGATTCCCAATCAGGGCAATTGCCCAGGTTGCAGGCTTGATCTCAGATAGGGGGTGTGCAGGAGGCAGCCAATAATGACTCTCATCATTAATGTTTCTATCTGTCTTTCTCCCTCTCCCTCCCTCTGAGATCAATAAAGACATTTAAAAATAAAAATAAATAAAACTGAGGTTAAGTAAAAGGTATCAGGATATTCATATGGGGAGTGAGTTAGTCAAATAGATGAACCATGTAACTGATAATAGATAATATCTACCTATAGTTAGTATATATTCAATTTGTTCATTCCTGACAAATCAGACATTGATTGAACTAGATAGAAATGATGGAAGGAAAAAAAACTATCAGGAAGGAGGTAAGGAAAATTAATGTCTCACTTCAGATTTACTTCATGTTAGTACACAGGAAGATGATTTCAGTTTTAGCAGTTGTGAGAACTCTTAGATTTTATAAATACAGGTAGCTACTTCAGCTACTTTGAGAAATGAGGTAGTGAAGTAAAAATACCTAATAAAGTGAAGGTAACCTAAGTCCAGAATTTTTTTTAGAAAATCATTTTCCCCTCTCCTGCAATTAAATAATCCACTTATGGAAGATTCAGAAAGTACGACAGGCAGAGTGAAAGTCTCATTTAAAACTGAAGTTAAGAATAATACATAGTAAGCAATAGCCTTTTAGCCAGGGAATTCTCAACCTTTGACCACCTTGACATATAATGATAAGAATCTCTAGCCCTAGCCTGTGTGACTTAGTTGGTTGAGTGTCATCCTGTGCACTAAAAGGTCGCAGGTTTGATTCCCGGTCAGGGCACATGGACGGGTTTCAAGCTCAATCCCGGGTCAAGGTGCATTCGGGAGGCAGCTGACCTATGTTTCTCTCTCACATCAATGTTTCTCTTTCCTTCCCTCTCCCTTCCTCTCTAAAATCAGTAAAAACATATATTTTTTTAAAATCTCTAGAGTTCAGTGTAGAATTTAGCTATAACTCTTTCTCAGTCCAAGAAAGCATAAATAAGACTTATTATTAGAGTAAATATATGTGTGTGTGTGTATGTGTTTGTGTGTGTGTATTATTAAGACTTACAAAGGACTGAGATACTTCAACTCATATTTGGGTGCTCTACGCAAAAAAGTGAGCATTTGCTTGGTGGCATTAGATTCTATAACGTTTCACTTTGGTAGTTATTTACATAAAATTTTGCACCTTAGAACAATGATATGAATATTTATGTCCTCTCTAGGTCATTGAAGTGAAAGCCAAAAGAAGGACTGGAAAACTTAACTTTGTGACTTGTATGAGACAGACTCTGGAAAAACATTATGGAGATAAGCCTGTAGGGATAGGAGGTACTTTCGTAATTCAGAAAGGAAAAGTGAAGACTCACATTATGGTAAGGGCCTGTAGGGGTGTGAAAGCATGCATTTGAGGGGATGTGTGTGTGTACACGTGCTTAAGATCTTAAGGATTTTTTTAATGCACACTGAGAATTCTACCTTTAAAGACCCCTGAATAAATCTGTTTACTAGATTATATTACTTTAAAATTTAAATGACAGGGAGGGGGGTGGGATGGGGTGGAATGGGTCATTGGGGAGAAAAAAGGACATCTTTAATATGTTGAACAAAAATGAAAAAATAAAAATTTAAATGACAATACTGTAAGTCATATTGTGTGATGATGTCTAGCTAGAGTCCTTTTTTCATGTTAATATATTAGAACTTTCTTTCCAATGTCTTTGCTTTTAAGATCAAGATAGATGTGAGTATAATAAACCTGAGAAACTGATTATTATTTTCATTGCCAGAATCCCATATTCAATACATAGACTTTGCTATTAGTATGATTGTGGTTTTGGGGGAAAAATTCATCATGAAAATTATAATCTATGAGCTAAATATAGTAAGTTTATAAGACATTAAGTATGAAATACTGTATGGAGACAGACCCAGGGCATTCAGGACTTTAAATATATAATTTTTGCTAAGTGAATGAATCAATGAATGAATGAAGTATAAAAGTGATTACAACTTAATTTTTATTTTATCAGTAAAGCCATTAGAAAATGTATTGTTTTAATTTTTTTTATCCTGTTAATTTTAAATGGCATGCCAGCTGATCCTGCAAAGAAAGACACATCTGTGAAACTACTTACTTTTCCAAAATATGCACAACAGAATTATAGATAAATCTGTGTGTAAATACCAAATGATTATAGTATTGTACAACCATTATGGAAAACAGTATGGAGTTTCCTTAAAAAAATTTAAATAAATAGAACTAGCATATGATCAAGCAATTCTGCTTCTAGGTATATATGTATGAAATGAAATCAGTATCTCAAAGAGATATCTGCACACCTATGCTCACTGCAGCATTATTCACATAATAGCCAAGTTATGAAAACAACATCTACATATATGGCTTAAAACAGAAGAAAATCCTGCCATTTGCAATAACATGGATGAATTTGCAGGACATTATACTAAGTGAAATAAGTCAGACACAGAAAGACAAATATTGCATGATATCACCTATACGTAGAATCTAAAAGAAGTCCAAATTAGAGAAACAGAGTAGAATAGTGGTTGTCAGGGGTTTGTGGTTTGTGAGTGATGGGGGAAATGGAGAGATGTTGGTCACAGGGTACCAACTTCAGTTATAAGATGAGCAAGTTCTAGAAACTAATGTACATCGTGGTAAATATAGTTAATAATAAAGTATTGTGTACTATAGGATGACATGTAAGATTAGGATGAGGTACTCACAGGAAAACTGTGAAGCCAAGAAAAATAAAAATATAGTAATAGACTCACTTTCATTTATTCATTCATACGTTTTAGTGTGTACCACATTGATGGGTGATCCTTTTGAAAACTAAGGTGTACAACTTCTTTTGATGCCAAAAATAGGCAATAGAATGTACAAGAAGGCTTAAAGTTTTTAACTTAATATAAAATTTTAATCCTCAATAATATTCAGTATGTTTACCTGTTTATTGTAGCCTAGAGAATTTTCTTCCTGCCCACTGAACTCTGATGAAGAGGTGAATAAGTGGTTGCATTTTTATGAGATGAAGGCTCCTTTGATTTGTCTGCCAGTTTTTGTCTCCAAAGACCCAGTAAGTCTATATTTTATTCTAAAGTATGTATTTTATGTTGAAGTTTACCCCAATTGCAGTTTTAGGTTTCTGGGTTTTTTTAGAATTGGACACTTTTTGTGTTGTTATTTAAGAACTAGGATAGTTTCTAGAATTATCTTGAAAGATAAGGCAGCATGTGGCAAACAACCCTGAGTTAGGCAGAGCAGATTTTTACCTTGAGAAAATGAAGGCACAGGCATTTTAAATAATACCCAAAGTCATGTTATTAAATAGTAGAATCACAACAGGATTCCTTTTTTTTTTTTGCTGTTTATTATACTGTTTATTATATTCTATTATACACTAAGAAAAATAACATAGACCAATTCAAAGCAAATATCTACCAAAATACTGGCTAGTGATATCTTTTGATCCACTGATTACATGTCTAGGAATTTATCCTTAAATATTTGCGTAAGTGTGTAAAATGATTAGGTAAAAGGTACTTCTTGCTAGAATTGCTGTAATAGCAGAACAATTGGGAATAACCTATACATCGGCTGGAAAGGGGCATGTACGTGCAGTAGAATAAAATATAGGTGCAAAAGGATAAGGAATCTCTTTTATGACCTGATCTACAAAGATCACAAAGCTTTATTGTTAAGTGAAGAAAAACAATATGTAGCACAGCATGTACAGAGTGCTACCATTTGAGTAAAAAAAAAAATAAAAGTAAATCTTTCTGGAAGGATATGGAAGAAACTGCTCATGTTAGTTGCCTACAAAGAAAGGAAGTGAGTGAGTAGTGAGGGCAAGAAATGGAAAGATATATTCTACTGAATAATATCCTTTTGCATCCTTTGAATTTTGAGTCATATGAATGTATTACCTACTTAAACAATAAAATAAAAACTACTATAACAAATTTTAAAAGTCTCCCCCCCCTTAAATAAATCCTGTCCAAAATAATTCGAACATTAACCATAGCTTGCCTGTCACCCTAGGGGTTCGATTTGCGATTGGAGCACACTCACTGCTTTAGTCGTCACGGAGAAGGTGGACACTACCATTACGACACTACCCCAGACGCAGTGGAGTATCTCGGCTACTTCTTACCTGCAGAGCTTCTCTATCGCATTGATCAACCAAAAGAGACCCATACATTCGGGCGAGATTAACTGCTACTCATCTAGAAAAAGAAATGATTAATTTAGTTAATTAACCCATTGATACAAATATAGAATCCAACAGAAATGATCTCATTACCTAAACTCTATATTTTTGGCCTTTGAAATGAAAGGTATGTTAACATTATGCCCTGTTATTTCATAGATCTATCTGAAAGTAACGGAGGTGCTCTTCATTATTTTATTCCAAAAATCAGTCTGAAATATAAACATGACCTGAAGTCATGTGATTGGTTATTTTTACATACCTTACAAGTGTAATATTACAAATAGTAATTACTTACATTTGTTTTAATTATTAAAATTTTGTAATTAGTCTCAAAACTGCTAATTGGATATTAGAAAAATCAGTGTTGGAAATTTTGATAGTTGTTGAATCTTTATATTGAATTTTAAAAACCCATTTTAGAAGTCAGAGTACACTTTTCTCATGGAATAAAGTGGTCAGAGGGAGGAACTTGACCCTTTTTGGTGAAGTTCAACCATACTCAGAATTTGCAATTTGCCTTTCACAAACATTAGCAGCCAGGTGGTTAGCCATGATTCCTCCTCTGTTTGGACTGCCAGCTGGAAGCAGTTTGTTCCTTGTTGCTTATTTGCAAGAAGAGAAGGGAAAACAAACAGCCTCAAAATACAACATTGAAGTGAGTGTATTTTCATTTGTAAGTGAGGCTATTGCTAAACATGACCACTGTCCTTTGTTAAATATAAAATTATAATCTTACTGATTATAATGGTTGGAATTTTAATCATTAGCCAGAAATTAACTCTCTCATCTTACTAATGCCAACAATGTGCAGATTTAGGAGCTCTTCGGTACTAAGCACATAATAAATCTTCAAAAAATATTTTGATTGTCTTCTTTGGATGTTAGCTGTAAGATGTCCTTTGAGTATAAATTACTAAATACTATTTTTAAATAAGCACTAGTTTGTAGCAAAAAATGAATAAAAATTATATATTCATAATATGATGTTGTGTTTCTTTTTAATATGCTACCTCCAAACAAAAATAATATTAGTATTCATTCAACAAATACGTATTGAACACCTACCCTGCCCTCTGGAATGTAAGCTGTATGAGGGCAAGAGCTTTGAGCACTGCTCTAGACTAGTGCCTGTAGTAGTGCCTGGCCAAAGGAAGCACCTAATAAATATTGGTCGAATGAGTGAATGGGTGGATGATTATGCCAGATACTTCACTAGATGCTGGGATCTATCATTTAATCATTTATATACTAGAGAAGACAAATAATAAGCAAGTATATGTCAGATGGCATTAAGTGCTGTGAAGAAAAATAAAGCATTGGGTAGACTAGAAAGGTGGATGCCATTTTGTTGTGCCGCCCTACACTGAGACAATGAACTCCCCATCCAGACTCTGGTTCAGATGAAGTCTCACACACACACGCAGTATGAAAGGTTTTATTGTTTGCATAATGAGGCTTTCTGGGGAAAGCAGGGCAGCTCCTAAGTTCAAAAATGGCTCGAGAGAACAGGGAAAGGGGACTGACTTGGGGGCGTTTTATGGTGGTTAGGGTGGTGAGTCACAGTGATGGTTCTGCATGCAGTTTGAATTTCCCACAGGTGTCCAAGGAAAGAGTACCCACGCTTTCTTATCACTGTGCCCAAATGTGGAGCAGAAGGATAAGCTTAATAGCTGTCAGCAGTCAAACATCAAAGATGAAATCTGACTATATTACACATATTATAGAGGAAGACCAGGGAAAACCTCTGATAAAGAGACATTTGAGCAAAGACCTGAAAGAAATGAGTGCTCACTCATTGAAGTTATTTGGGAAAACACCTTTCTGGCAGATTCAAAGCCCCAGAGACAGAAGAGAACTTGGTACGTTCAAGAAACAGCAAGGAGGCCACTGTGAACACAGTAAGATTCTCTGAATATATATATACATATATATATGTATATATTCACAAAATTATGTTAATGACATAGTCACTTTAAAATTAGGAATGTGACAAGGATGCCCAGTATTATTAATCATTGGAGTTTCAACCTGGAAAAAGGACAGGAAAGAAGGAGTAGGTGCAATTATTGAAAAGAAAAAAAAATAAGCTTTTTAACAGAAAACATGATTGACCTCTTAGAAAACCAAAGAGAATCTATAGTGAAATTATTAGACTAAGTTCTAAAAGGTTCCTAAATATAAAATCAATATACAGTGTGGGGCATCTGTAATACTTTCAACTATAAAGGTACATTTAAAAATAATAAATAAAATCAATATACAATGGATTGTACTTCTACATACTAAGAAGAAACAAAAATGTAAATGTAAAGAAGATATCAATTACAATGTTATCAAAAGTACATAATATTTTTATTTAACAAAAATTATATATAACCTTTATGGATAAAATTATAAAATGATTGAAAACTTAAAGTGCCAAAAAATAGTTACAACTAGGAAGAGGCAATCTCATAAAAGTATCAATTCTTCTCAAAACTATAAATTCAACTCATGCAAGTGTAATCCCAGTAGGGCTTTCATAGAAATTCACCAGTTGATTCTAAAATATCTGAGCCCTGGCCGGCATGACTTGGATTTCGTCATCCCATGCACTAAAAGCTCACCAGTTGGATTCCTAGTCAGGGAACATACCTGGGTTTGTGGGCTCCATCCCCAGTAGGGGGCATGCAGGAAGCAGCCAATGGGTTTCTCTCCCTCTCCCTTACTATCTCTCTAAAATCAATAATAACATCCTTAAAATACATCAGAGAGCAAAGGGCCAAAATAAGCAAAGGCAATTTTTAAAACAACTAGGTCAGGGGCATTTGATACATAGATATCAAAATGTATAAAAGTATTAAAAGTAAGACAGTGTGATTTTGGCACAGTGATGGACAATCAAACCAATAGAACAGAAAAATCAAGGCCAGAAACAGATCCTCACATATGTAGATTCTTGATTTTTTTTGATAGGTGGAATTGCAGATCAACGAGGAAAGGAAAAGGTATTCAAATAGTGCTGCCAGAACCAGTTATTAATATGGAAAAATAAACCTGGATTGGACTCAATACTAGGTGAATTAAGAGACTTAAATGTGAATATTAAATTTTTTAAAGTTTTAGAAGAAAGTATATCTTTATGACTTAGGGGTATGGAAGGATTTTCGAAAGAACGTAAGGCACAAACTATTAGAGAAAAGATACATAAATCTGATCTGATATCATTAAAATGTAAAACTTTTGTTTGTCAAACTATGGCTCAAAAGGGAAGAAAGCAGACCACAGTCTGGGAAAATACATTTTCAAAACATAGCTGATGCGCTTCCAGGTCAGGGCACATGTCCAGGTTTGCAGGCTCCATCCCTAGAAGGGGGAGTGCAGGAGGCAGGCAATTGATTTCTCTCTCTCCCTCTCCCTTCCTCTCTCTAAAGATCAATAAAAACATATTTAAAAAAATAAAGGACATAGTATCATGAATCTCCTTTATTGAAGTATTTTTTATATAATTTTTCACATATTTCCTTAAAATATCTTTACATTTACAATAAAGAATTATGGTGATTTAGTAATGAATTCAATGCTCAATTGTTTTTATATTAAATATTTCCCTATTAAAAAAAAAATGTTTTTATTGATTTTTTGAAAGAGGGAGGAAGGGAGAGGGATAGATAGAAACAGTGATGAGAGAGAAACCTCAATTGGCATTCCAAGGGGTGCAGGAATATTAGAATGTCTGTCTACATATTTTATTTCATCCATTTTAATTTCTATTTTTGCATACAATACGTAAAACACATTATGTTAGGGATGTCAGCTAAAGTACTTTTTGCTGACAGGTAGAAGTTCAAAACACTTAAAGACCAGATACATTTAAATCATCTTTCCAAACCTAAAATGAGAACACAATCTGACATAAAGGCAATTATGTGACTAAAATGATCAAATATTAAAAAATGAGTTTTCCACAGAAAATCTGGTATAGCCACTGGTCAAATCTATGGATGGTTACTGTTCCTGGAACTCCTTCCTACCTTTGGCCCTATTTCTCTAATACATCCTGTTTCTGAAATGTTCTGTTTTTCTGAAGTGTGTTAACTACAGCAAAGAAGATTGGCTTCTGTAAGTTTAGAATAATGCTTGGGATTGGTTGCATTAGCAAACCTCGTATTTGCCACTACAGTAGATCTCTAAAAGCAGACTCCCATTTGCTTTTGGTTTTAGAACCCAGCTTCCTTTTAGGTTATCTGTGAAGCCTCTGTGTGGCCTGTTCTATCACTCAGCAGCAATTTACTGAGTATCATCAATGTGCCAGGCACTGTGAATAAACAAAGATGAATAAGGCATGGTTCCTGCCCCAGCGGAGCTGTCTAGGGGACACTGGCTGACATATGAACAAAAAATTACAATTAAATGGGGTGCTATTAGTATTATCTTATAAAGTACTGTACACTAAAGGGACCTGTATATCACAAACACATAAATTAATAAATTGAAAAGCACACATGAACTGGTACTGGCCAAGATGCAATAAGCCAACAGCCTATTTTTTTTAAATTTGTAATACTGAACTTTCATGGAAGCAAAGCACACTAAATCAAACCAGTTCTTTTGTTAGGCAGATGAGAGACTGATTACTTCAACTTAATCAGAGATTGAGCTGGGTTGGGGTTGGGTTGCATTTTAAATTTAAATGAGGCTCAGACCTCTGCTTATACCGTTTATTCCAGGTGTCTCTTCTGGGGTTTTAATTTAGAGCCTGGCATATCTCCGTCTTCTCAGCCCTGAAAGATGGTTCAGTTCTTTCCTCTGGAAGATTTGAGTTCCATGAAGCATCAAATCTGATAAATATTTTTCCTGGAACACTTCCCGCTAAGCAGGACTTAGTCTTGTCAGTGGTGCTGGTGATTAGCAAGATCAGGTTCTTGCCTCTCGGAGGAAAGAATTCAACACAGATGGAAAACTGTAGCAAGCCGCAAAATTTTATTCAAAGCATAAGTACATCTGAGGGACACTCAGACAGGCAGCTGGAGCGAGGTTCCAGTACCGAATGGGCCCAGTTCCTGGCTTTTTATCTTCCCTCTCTTTACTCAAGCGTGATCTTTGGTCAGTCTGTCCTGTCTCTGCCCTGTTCATATCTATCCAACTGCCTACTCTAACATTCTTCCCTCAAGAGTTTGACACCCAATTTGTTGGGGGATTATGGACGTAGACAACCATCTGGCTACTTCCTGCTGACAAATGGACGAAGTTGGGGATTGGGTCGCATTCTCTTGCTATTAGACAAAAGGGTAGGTTTCCTGAAATTGTTGGCCAGCTTGACCAAGAGGTCAAGCTATTTCTGCAGGAGAGGAAGGGTTGAAAACCCCGATGAATCATTACTTGGAGGAAGAATTGCTGTCATCTGGAAGAGACAAATTTTACAAGTAGGTTAAATAGGGATCAAATAGTAAGTGTCCCTAATATGATGAGGAGAGGGACTGTAAGGGGTCTGAGGAAAGACCATAACCAATTTTTCCAATTCTAAGCAAATGAGGTTCCCATACCTGGCAAATGTTGCGTTTCTCTTGGATTCTTTAACCAGGTCGCGTGGTTTAGAATTTCATGTATTCTTGTTTCTACTTTAGCGGAGTTATTGATGTAGGTGCAGCATGTATTGTTTCTAATAGCGCAGACTCCTCCTTCTGCAGCTAAAAGATAGTCCAGGGCAATACGATTGTCTAAGCCTATATTGGTTGATGAGTTGAGGGACTGTTGTAGTTGACGGAGGACTGCTCCCGTTTCATTTGAGAGCATTTCTAATTCAGCTGTGAGATTAGAAAGGATGAATTCATGTTCTATGTATTCTGTCCAGGGGACGAGGGAACTAAAGGTGCTTCTTCTCCAATTTAAGGGGTTGTCTAGGAGTCCTCTCTTATGCCGGGAAGGTGAAGTTTCATTGTAGATGGCCAGGCTAGGAGTTAAATATCCTAAGGTGCACATTCCATAAATGAGATAGGGATTTAGGCATGAAGTGGCCATGTATCCGGTGGGGGTGGCATGTACTGAACCAATGCCTGCTGTTCTATTCATGGAATATGCGCATATGTAAACCATTCCCTCCGGAGCACAGGTTGTGTTGGAAGTGTTAGTTAAAACCATAGGAACAATGGTATTACATGAGGAAATATTCGCAGGCCACCATATGGAATAATATAAGACTCTAAGTTTGCATAGAGCAGTCTTAGTTTCGTTGCAGACAGGAAACTCTTTTCCCAGACGAGCAGGCTTATGTTTAGATGTTGCAGTGTATAGGCAGGTAGATGGAGAGGTAGTTATGTCAACCAGAGTGAAAAGGGTAGCATATGTACTTGGTTTGGAAATATATGCTAGCTCTGAGCGCCAGCTTTCGTTACCAAATTTGTTCTCTGGCCTAGCTAAATATTGTGTGGGGCCCATGGCTTGTGGGTGCTTGTGGCAGACCCAGCAGTTAGTGACGTTCCCCGAGGCTATAGCCTTGGTAATCCTAATTAGTGAGTTTTGGTCCCATGGTTGTGGTTCTGGTTTTAGAATAGTGTTTACTGTGCCTAGTCCTAAAGGGACTTGTGAAGCCAGGAATAGGAACAGAAGGAAATTATTCATTGTGTGAAGAAGCCTCGAATGGAGTGCCAGGTGATGCACAAGTAAGTAAGCAGGAGAGGAGAGGAGAATTGTATAAAGGACTATTGATCCAATAAAGAGTAATTCTGAGAAGGGTTTTCATGGGGAGGAGGGAGGAATTTTAAGACAGCAGAGTAGAAAGCCGAGCCAAAAGAATATTAAGAAGTTTATAAATAATAACAAAAATTAAGAAATAAACTTATCTAGGGTTTGTCTTCTATTGGTTTGCAGTCCCACGTATTGATTTCTCAGGCTCAGATGGGTTAGTAGGGTTGCAATAAGGCTTTCCTCATGTGTAATGTATCCAACTAGAGATGGCGATGACCTTGATTGCTGTGGAAGCAGAGAACAGGACAGTAAAAGGCCCTTTTCCATAGGGGTGTTAACTGGAATCCTGGAGTTCCTTCTTTCCAGGTTTTAATGTATATTTGTGATCCTGGCAGATATAAAGATGGGGAGGTAGTCTGTCCAGCCCCTGGAGTTCTTCTATATCCAAAGTCTTGTATTGCTTGTTGGAACTTAGCTAGGTAGGTAAGTTTGGAGGATTCAGGGTCTATTATTAAAACAGACTATAGAAACTTTCAAAGGGCATTAATTGTAGCTGAGTTGTGGGGGCAGTTCAAATTCGGAGAACAGTTATAAGTAGTAGATCTAACCATTTAAGGGCAGTTTCTTGGCAAAGTTTGCTAAGGCTTTTCTTTATTGTATGATTTGCCCTTTTAACCTTTCCAGAGGACTATGACCTCCAAGCATAGTGAAAGTGCCATTTTATTCCTAGGGCTTTGCTAACTAATTGTGTGACCTGCAAAGTAAATGCAGGTCCATTATCACTTTGTAGGGATTGAGGGAGTCCAAATTAAGGAATTATTTCTTTTAAGAGTATTTTTGCTACCTCTTGAGCTTTTTCAGTGCTGGTGGGGTAGGCCTCAATCCACCCAGTGAAAGTCTCTATGAAGACTAGTAGGTATTTATAGCCTTACATGGAGGCAGTTGAGTAAAATCAATTTGCCAATCTTCTCCTGGATAGGTACCCCTTCTCTGTATAGGTCCGACTAGTGTAGGTGGAGATTTCGATCCTTGGGGGTTATTTTGGGTATTTAATGCACAAGTCCAGCAGATCTGTGAATTGTTTTGTTTAGGCCCTTACTGGTGAAAAGTTTTGCATATTTTCTCTCCCTAGGTGACAAGAGTTGGGGAGGGCTTTTATGATTTTCCATTGTGAGGCTAAGGGGACATAAAGGAGTCCCTCTGATTGGAAATCCTGTTGGTCCCTTGATGTACCTGTGTTGGGATGCCGATTCTACTTCTTTTCTGGTATATTTAAGGGTTGGCAATACTGTAGGTAAGGCTGGAATTAATGCTCCTAAGAATATATCCTCAAAGGTAGCAGCTGCTTTTGCAGCTTTATCAGTGTATTTGTTTCCTTGAGTTATTGTCTTGGCAGTTTTGGTGTCCCTTGCAGCGTATAACTGCTATTTCTTTAGGTAAATGAACTTTTGGAATTTATTTTTATTTATGGTATGAGATAGGGGAATGTACGTAGATTATCTGTATATATGACACATTGTTGGCCCTGTTCCTCCCTTCATCTACACCCTTTCCGTGTTACTCTGCAGTTCCTGCAAGTAAGAAAGCTGAATATATCCCCTCTCCTAATCTTGACTCTTGGGCTTGGCCATGGGACTTGTGAGTGTTAGACATGTAATGCAGGCAAGCCTTACCTCTTAAAAAAAAAAAAAAAAAAAGCCTGGCCCAACATGGCTCAGCAGCTGAGTTATCGACTTATGATCAAGGAGATCACAGCTCGATTCTCAGTCAGGGCACATGCCCCAGTTGTGGATTTGATCCCCAGTAGGGGACATGCAGGAGGCAGCCGATTAATGACTCTCTCATCAGTGATGTTTCTCTCTCTCTCTCCCTTCCTCTCTTTGAAGTCAATAAAAATAGATTTTAAAAATGTTTTTATTGATTTCAGAGAGAGAATGGGAGAGGGAGAGAGAGACAGAAACATCGATGAGAGACAAACATCCATGGGCTGCCTCCTGCACACCCCCTACTGGAAATTGAGCCCACAACTTGGGCATGTGCCCTGACCAGGAATTGAACCGGCAACCTTCTGGCAAGGCTTACCTCTTGTACCTCTGCCATAGCCATAAAAATAACATACCCTGACCAGCATGCTAGTACAAGAAGAATGAGAGACACATGGTAGAGTCATCTGAATGACCTGTAGACCTATAACTTGAAGCACAACCAACCAGCTGAGCCCACTATAGATCATCTGGCCCTCAAGTGTGTAAACAAGCTCAGATGAGTCTGCAGATGCCTCAGCCAGACTGCAAAAGTATGAGCACCTCATAAAGATGAAATGAGAAATGTTTAAAACACTGAGCACAGTTACTGACATAACTAGAACCCATGAAAAATGTTAAATTTAAAATAAAGTATTAAATCTTTTTACAATTTTGACATAAAGAGTAAGCACAGTAGTACTTAAAAATGATTGTGCTTACAAAACATAGGTCACTCTTGAAAATTCACACACACACACGCCACATATATTCTGCTTCGGTATAGACTGACACCAGGGCATCCTTATTTTCCTAAATACCTTTGGAAAGCAGTTTAAAAAAAACCTTAGATATCTTGGTCAGAGCAAAACTTGGAAAGATAAGTTGTATACATAAATTCCTTAAATTAAGTCGAGTTTTGTAATAGAAAATAATCCCTCTTCCCTGGTGGAATTATTACTAACGAAATATTTTTGAGTACTCAGAGACTGAGGTTATGCCACTGCTTCTTAATCTTATAAATAATACTTATTCTCAGTCACTCAGGCATAAAATGAATATTTATTAAGCGCGTATTACATGCCATTGTCTATTATGCTTGCTGGAGACAGTCGCTGTCAGGGAATTTACGACTCACGGGAAAGCAGGGAATAAACTAACTTTTAAGTATAACTTAACTAGTAACAAGCACGATTAATTGTTTTCCTCAAACTACGCCCTGTTTTGTAACTCTTCAAACAGGTTTTCACTCTAGGTGTAAGCCCTCAAATCTCAGCATTCCCAGAGGGACTCTCACAGCTCAGATCCAAGGACCCATTCATTTTTTTCCCTACCTCTTTTCAGCCTTCTTCAGCTTTCCTTCCTCCACGACTTTCAAACAAGTGACACTTAAAATGCAGACGACCACCGGGGACCAGCCTCGCCCCGGACTCTTCGCCCCGGGATCCGCAGCCCACGCCGCGGTCCACGCCTCCAGCCCGCAGGCGTTCTTCCCGCCGCCGCAAGCGAACTCACCGGAAGTTCCTGCCCGGAAGTGCCTAGCGCCCGCGCCTCGTCTATTTCGCCCTGGGAGACGCAGAACGGAGAGAATCCTGCAGTGCATCCTGGGAAAGTGGTGGGGCTCTCAGCTTCGTTTCCGGCCGAGGAGCTGCGTCTGGTTTCCCCGGGGCCCGCAGGGGCGCGGCGGTTCCTCGGTCTCCGGCTGCCAGCGGGGGCGCTTCCGCTTGCTGTTTCGGTGTTTGGCTTGTGAGGGGGTCCTCCCGTGGCTCGCCCTCGCCGCCAGCATGTCTGGGGTGCGCGCTGTGCGCATAAGCATCGAGTCGGCCTGCGAGAAGCAGGTCCAAGAGGTGGGCCTGGATGGCACTGAGACGTACCTGCAGCCGCTGTCCATGTCCCAGAACCTGGCGCGCCTGGCCCAGCGGATCGACTTCAGCCAGGGGTCGGGCTCCGAGGAGGAGGAGGCGGCGGGGGCCGAGGGCGACGCGCAGGACTGGGCGGGCGCCGGGTCGAGCGCGGACCAGGACGACGAGGAAGGTGAGGCCTGAGTCTGCGGCTGGAGTCCGCAGGTCCGGGCCGGGGGTCCCGGTGGCCGCCCGGGAAATGCCACACCGCCTCCTCTGTGCTGGGGGAGATGCTCTGTGTCTGTTTGAAAGGATCAGGTCCGTATGAAAGTAACACCCGTGCAGAAAAGTAATTGGGCTCTTTTTTAAAAATAGCTGGACAATTTAGGGCACTGCTTGACAATACGCCGTGATTCTCTGCAAGTTTCCTTGAGTTGGAGCGTGTGAGACACAGTTACTGCTGAAGTGTTTACGTTTTTAATAGAGCTTTTGTCACTTGGCACGCTGTGGTTAAGAGCCCTGCAGTTCACCCCGCGGCTCTGCTGTGTGCGTTTGAGCGAGTTACTACTATGTTTCTCTGTGCAGTGTGAATGTTGATCGTAACACCTGTATTGACCCGAGTATGAGGGAAGGTTTAAGAGATAGGCAGCAGCCAAATCTAGTAGGTCAGCATAAGCATTTGGCTTTTATAAGGACAAAAAAAAAAAGCTTTGGAAGGATTTTAAGTAGACAGATGATTTTGTTTAAGAAGATTACTCAGGGTGTTATGTAGTAAATGGAAAACAAAGCTGGAAGGAGGGAGGCTAGAGAATTGTAGAAAAAGCATGAGTGCTTTTGGGGTTCTCATTATCGTCAAGGATAAAAAATATTCACAATTCTTGATTTACTTATGGACAACGGACCCTGTATAAATGGGAATTTTAGAATGGAATTTCAAGCCAGTGGTCTTAAGACAATTGGGGGTCCATTTGAGAATCAAAGGTAGGTAGCAACTTATACCTCACACAAAAATTATTTCCAGAAGGATTGAAATGCAAATGAAGAGAATAAAACAAAATATTGGAAGGAAGTTACAGTCATGTAACTTTGGAAATAGGCAAAACTTTAAGCAGGGTAGGAAATGCCAATTATAAAGGAAAACATAGATATATTAATTACATAAAAATTTAAAATAATAATGGAAAAAGAGGCCATAAACAAAGTAAAAAGGTAAGTGACAGACTGAGAACAATATTTACAACATACATGACACACAAGTGGTTAATAGCCCTCATATTCAGCCTGCAAAGAAAAAAACAACTCACTGGAAAAATAGGCCAAAGATACAAACAGCTCACAGAGGAAAGACTTTAGGTCTCAGTAGGAGGGAGAGGCAAACTAAAACATCACTAAGATACTATTTTCATGCATAAGATTAGCAGAAATTCAAAGGATTGTTAATATTCAGGGTTGGGAATGTGAATTGATAGAGCCTTTTTGGAAGTCAATTTGGCAGTTCCGTATGTGTCAGAATTTTTAAATGCGCATCTCTTTTGACCCACTGATATGGCTAAAATTTAACCTACAGAAAACATTGTACATGTATACAAATGTGTATTCAAGATGTTTATGGCTACTAGCTTGTTGGAACCAATCTACATGTCCAATAAATAGGAATGGTTAAACTTATTGTATAGCCACAGAATATCATACTGTGTTAAAAGAATGGAGTAGATCTCTATGTGCTGATACGGAAGTGTCTCTAAAACATATTCAGTGGGGGGGAGGGGAAGCAAATAATAGAAATATGGGAGTATATGTATGTAAGTGCATAGAAAAACATGGACAGGTACAGCTCAACTATAATAGTGATTACCTTGCAGGAGGGGAGAGAATTAGGGGTGAGGAATAAAGGAAAACTTTCACTTTTTGCGCTTTCTGTTGTTTGAACTGTATATAGTAAGTGTGTGTTTATGAAATTTGATTTTAAAAATAAAATTTTTAAAAATGGTTAAGTTGGAAGATATGTGAATAGTGTTTACTATCTGAATGCTACCATTATAGGTCACTTTTTATTTTTGTACTTTCTTGTACTTTGGAAATTCTCTATACTTATTCACATTTTAAAAGCTGGAAGAAAGGGTTATTAAAAATGCCTGCATAAATTTAAAAAGATACTTGAATGCCTACCCATCACGTTGTAATGTCAGATTTAACCTATGGAAATTAGGTATCATACTTGTTTTGCCATTGTAGGAATGCTAACTTAACTGTTAACAAAGATTCAGGAAAGGGTGGAGGGCATCGGATAAAAGAGGATACAATTTTGAAGTAAAATTTATTATTTCTTCTTTTAGTACTTTAAAACTGCTGAATGAGCTTTTTATCTTCTATTCATTGTAACTAATATTTATGTATTTCTTTTTTTCTTTCTCTTTAGGGTTGGTAAAATTTCAACCTTCCCTTTGGCCTTGGGACTCGGTGAGGAACAATTTGAGAAGTGCCCTGACGGAGATGTGCGTTCTCTATGATGTTCTCAGTATTGTTAGGGACAAAAAATTTATGACTCTTGATCCCGTTTCTCAGGATGGACTTCCTCCAAAACAGGTATTTGTGGGCTTTAGCTGAATAATGGTACCATTTTGGTAAGCCCCAGGATCATTTTTTAGGCTGTGTGCCCTTTTCCTTTTATGCAAAATTAAGTCAAGATGAAGATTTAAAGACTAACTGGTTCAAAACAAAGGCATAAAACTGTATCTCCTTTATTACTTTATTAATATACTTGTGACCCTCAGAAGAGGGTTATTATGAGACTTATTATTAAGTCTCATTAATAACATAATACTTTAAATTAGTTTCCCAAATCTTAACAAAATCTTACAGCGTGCATCTTTTGTCTGTAATATATTATACAAAAATGTGATGACAAAGCGGCTTCCGGGTCAGATAGACCTGGTTTGAAATCCTGCCTCTGCCCTCACTAGCCCTGTGACCTTGAATAAGTTATTTTCTCAGTTTTTCCCTCTAACCCTCTCCCCTCCTTTTTAGGGCCTGGTTAGAAAAATTAGAAAGGCCAAATTATGGAGGATATTGGAAGCAAGGTACAGTTACTAAATCTGATGAAGAGTATATTCAAGTTTTGGACATGAGAAGATAAAAAGGAGGCAGCAGAAGGGTGAATTAGTGAATGAAGAGTCTGAAATTCAGGGAGGCCAGCTGAGAAGGTCTTGAAGGAAAATAAGCATCAGGACCATGACTGAGTTAGTGGCACAGAGAGGAAGTAATGGTTGTAAGAACCCATTTGTAAATAAACTAAGTGAATGTAATTACTCATGTGGTAATAGTTTTAGAATCTAGAAACATTGCTCTGGAAGACTTCTTAGAGATCATTAAATCTGCTTCCTTCATTTTACAGAGAGAAAACTAAGGCCCAGAGAAATCAGTGATGAGTTCAGATTGCAGTAAGACCAGTGGTTAGAGAGAAAGGCCAAGACCTCTGGCACCTCACTCATAGCCCACTGCCTTTTCCACTTCTGTGCTTCTCCCAGAAGGGAGTCTAGGAATTTCTTGAGTTCTGCAAGAACTTAGGGTTAAGTTCCCTCATATGACCAAAAGATTGTTGTGACATTGTTATGAAACTTCATGATTTTGACTCTTACATAGCCAGAAAACTTTCTGTTTGGAAGTATGTCTGGTTAATGCGATACACAAATTGGTGGTGACTGTGAATATTTGTGTATGTATATATAACACATAGATTATGATTTCTCATCAGTTTTCCAAAAATTAGCATTCAGTGAAGTAGATTTAATATTAATGCTGCATGGTTTCAGTGTTAATTTGAAAGGCACTTAGGTAGCTTGCTGTAATACAAGGTAATTTTACTGCCATACTTAGTGGAGTCAATCATTTATTCATTAAATCAAATGTAATAAGCCAGGCATTATTCTAGGGTCTGTGGATATAGTGGTTTCTGCCATCATATAGGTTACATTCAAGTAGAGATTATAGGCCTTAATCAGAAGTTTAATGAGTGCCATGTAAGTGGGGAGGGGGAGCGTCAATACATAGAAGAGTAATGGCAGTATACAAGAGGGGAGGGCGCCTAACCGAGGCTCGGCAGAGTTGATGCAGTGGTCAGTTCTGATTGGTGGCCCACTGTGGTGTTTTTGGTTTAACATAAGTCTTTTTTTTTTTTTTTTT